TTTATCCGAGCAACCCTGTAAATGGTACTGAGAATTACAAAATCCGTTAACGAAACGGAAAGCCACACCAGTTAGAAGTGAACCACGTAACGGTCAATACACATAAAAGACTGTGACTTTAGGAAATGTCTTATAATTGGAATAACCATATAAAGTTGCGTTTAAAAATGATGCAAGGACAATCACTGAATTTTAGGAATGTCTAGGGGGGCTTTAGCCGTGCGGTTACCTTCGCTCTCTTTGAAGAACAGCGAAAAACATCATAGTTCTTAATTAGAACTGGAACCTAAACCTAAACCTAATACTATGTAAATAACATTTTCCTTGTTAATTTTATACATTCACCATCGAAAACACTTTGGAAACGATACCAGCATAATAATATGCGTACCTTTATTTTTTTCGGAGTTCAGTAATCTACTGCCTTCAGTAATTCCGAGCACGGCTGGTACCCCTCCAGTTTGTTTAAATTGTCCCTTGTTTCAGTTACTCCTCAGGATGTTGTACTTTGAGGACTTTATGGAGGGTAAAAATGGCAAAATAATGTAAATAATGGCTCTTTTTTAATTAGCTATCGAGAGCTTGCCCGCCGAAGTTAATGAAACACTATCGAATCTGCGCGAAATTGACTACCAGACTCAGGGTAATTTTGTCCTCGTAGCCTGAATAAGGATGCATATTAGCCACCTTAGAGCCTGTCAATGGGCTAATAAGCACGCTATTTGAAAATTGCAAATTTTCGAGATTGTCTCCCAAGGAAAAAGAGATAGAGTATGAAAAAATTTTGAACGTAAGCTCTAAAAGTGTCACCCGACTTTTGTAGCTGTACGACCAAGCTCTAGCGCAATCTTCAAAGAAAACCGAAATTGTAAGGAACTTATACGAACTAGTAATATATATTTTCGGAATAAATGGTTCTGTAGTATAGAAAGGTTGTAAGAAAACTGGATGCAGAGCTTGGGAAGTTTCGACTTGAACTAGAAGCCGACAACTCCGGCGTGACATCGAAGATCGAACACCGTGAGTTGTCCTCCCTTCTAA